TTAGAGCTCCTCAATTTTTCACCCCAAACGTCTCGTTGCACCCTGAAATGAAAGCATGGTACAAAAAGCAGTTGGAGTTAAAACAGGAATCATGGAATCAGTTTATAGACCAAAGTCTAACCTTTGACTCATCAGCGTCGCCTCCTTTGCAGATATAACAGCTGAACACAGCCGTGGCTTCTGGCTACAACAGATCTAATCTTCTCCCATATCTGTAGCAGAAGTTCCCTTAAACGTGGACCTTGTAGCTGCTTTGCTTTCACTCTTCTGTCCAGCTCATCCCAAACCAGCTTGATGGGGTTTCAGTCTGTGCTGGACCTCCATGTTTTCAAGCTCACCATCTTGTTCTGTTTTCCTGAGGTGGTTCAGGCACAGCTATCACACTTCCTCCTCCATGTTTGACAGTTGATGCCACACACTGTGGACCCGTCCTTTCACCTACTCCACGGCGTTCAAAGATCCTCTGTGATGAACCCAAGATCTCAGATTTGATTCATTAGTCCATAAAACCTTCTTCCAGTCTTCAGTAGTCCAACGGTGGTGCTTCAAGGCCCAGACGAGCCTCTTGTCTTATTCTGACGTCTGGCTTTCTTGCTGCAGCTCGTCCTGTCAAACCTGCACCTCGAAGTCTTCACAGTACAAACTGAGACTTGCTCACTACGACCACTATTAAGCTGCTTGAAGCTGTTGTCCTGCGAGCCGCCATCACACAGCTGTTAACTTGTCCTCTGATTCAGTCGTGTCTTTGGGACCAGACTTCCTGTCACAGTTTGTTTCTGAGCCTTTACTGTGCTCACTGACACTGTGACTTTCTTCACGGTCTCTCTGTAGCACAGACCTACATTTATCAGTGATGGTCTGTCTCTCTTCTATCGTTAATCGGCTTTTTCTCACCTGTTTGCAGCATCACTCTACTTTCTGCAGTACAGTACTGTTCAGCTGATGCTCACGAGGGTATGGCACCACAGTGTGCTCCAACACTGCCTTCATCCAGACAGAGGCGGCTGTAAGTAATCCAGAAACGTTGGAGCAGCTGTAGGAGTCAGTAGAACCTCCATTGCTGCAGAACAGCTTTAAACTGTTAACCTGTGTTGTTCCCTGTTGAAGGCCTTTTTGTATAATGTAATTATAAATGTACATTATTACAGTTTTGGGTTAGCTTACCTTTTTTTAACCTCTGACAGTTGAACGGCTTGAATTGCAATAAATAACTGGAAACATTGGGGTAAAGCTTATGAACAATAGTGTACATGTAAATCACTTTGATCAGTACGATTATCTTCATCGTTGTTGTTATCAGATAATTACAGGACAGTCGTTTAAAGGTTTTTTACAGGCAAATAGTCTTTGCGATTGCTTTTTTTATAAAGAATATAATTAGAAAATATGTTTCTCATATTACATTTAAAAATATAAGTTTGTCTTTTTCTCTTAGTGTTAAATCTTGGAGGAGTTGACTTCCTGTTTGTGTGTTTTTAAAATCTAAATCATGCAGATCAACAGAAAAACCTCTGAAACACGTCCAATAAACTCGGCAATAAACCGAGTTGTTGTTTCTCCAGATGAAAATGTGCCCAGTTTGGAAATTTGGCCGATTCGACAGGTGATCAGGCTGTTTGAAAACGAATGTTGTCAGAACACCAGGAGTCCGTACAAACGCTGACAACAACGCTTGAACGCTCTTCTGGCTTTGTTGTCTGTAAGGAGGAGTTGCCCTGTTGGCTATAATATGTGTATGCTGAGCAAATATACACAACCAGTGTGCGCACGCTCAGGTTATCTTGGATTTTAAGTGCAAATAAATGTAACTTTCCTCATTGGAAGCAGTGAAGGAGAAGCTGTGGTCATCTGCCACTGGTGTTTCTCCTGTGGGTGTGCCGTTCCCACCACCGTGCTTCTGTTTTTCTTTAGCTGGTCTTAATTTTCTCATTATTCTGACTTCAGCCACACGACTGGTTTCAGCTGCACTAACAGCTCCTCTGAGAGCACCTGCAGCTCTTAACGTTCCTCCTTCTACTGTAAAAATCTTTCGTTGTTCTTGTAACAGTGACAATAAAGATTCTATAGGATGTAAATCCACACTTTGAATCATCTTCAGACTCTGTACTTGTGTCATGGTAAACACAGGCTGTGCAGCTCGTTTCTAATCTAACTGAGAACAGACACGTTTACCTCACTGACACAACACTTTCTAATTACAACCACACTTTTGGAAACGCTGGGACGCCGTTAAAATAAAAAAGAATGCAATGATTTCTGAAATCATTATTTAATTCAACAATAGATCAAATGTTTAAAAAAGAAGAACCAGCTCATCCTGAGTTAAAGACGAGTTGTTAGACTTTTGTTAGAGGACTGTTGTATACAGAATTCTTCTCAATTATTCTGAATCTTCAGTTTCATATTTTTAGTGTTTTTCCAAATATCTTGAATTGAATTCTAGACTCAACCCGTGCTGTTGTAATAGATGCTTTACATGGTTTCACGTTGCTTTCTTAGTTACTATGTTGGTCTAAAACCTTCAGCACTGATGGATCCATTCCAGATGTGCAAGTTGCCAAATTCACAGTCAGTAACGTCTCCCCATACAGAAACCAGCTGAACGATGCCTCTCCTCTTTAGTCCAGGTGAAGGGACGTCCATGTTTGCCAAGAAGAAAACAAACCAGATGTTTCTGACCTCACAGATTTCCACTTGTGACATCTGGATGATTCAGGATGTTCACATACAAAGTGAAGCTGCAGGTGTGCACAGCACTGTGAGCTGTTCCCGAGTCTTTGCACTGATTTCCATGACAGAGTCGAGCTTGTTGTTAATGCAGTGCTGACAGGAAGCTCTCGCTCATCCAACATGGATTTCCAGGCTTGTGCATTGTGCACACGGGTTTCTCTAGAACATGTTGATGCTATTGTGAGAAAGTTGCAGCTTTCACAGTTGTTTATTTGACAAACAATTGTTTTGCAGCTTGTAAATGCAGTTTTTTGCAGACTGGTGCCCCCTGCCTGTCTTCACGTCTGGGAAACTGCCTGCTCGTTATACTCAGTCATGTGACTGGTAACAAATGTTTATCTGCCTCGTGCTCCCTCAGCTGCTTCTTAAATGATTTGTGGGGATTTTCAGACAATCGTGAAAATGAAAAGTGCAGCATCACAGACTCAAACTGACTTCTGTGTGACTTCATGTCAATGTGGACACACGTATCTGTTAAAAGAGAACATTTTCTCTGTCTAAACATTCGGTGGGATTTCTGTGAATAAAACGTGTTTATGAGATTTGCTAATCATTGCATTCTGTATGCATATGTTTTTAGAATTGGCATTATTATCATGCCATGCACGTTAACTACATGCTGTGTGCTCACAAGTCTTCCTCCTCTGTGATCTGTGTAGCTTCATTACTCAAAAAAGTTCATGACACAGAACAAGTAATGCAAAATGTTAGTTAGTTGCTCCCAGGAGAAAGTGCATTACTTTTGTGTTTCTCTGTAAAATGGCCTGAAACACATCAGTGATGATTTAACAGGGTCTGGCTGCTGGTCTGGGGTCAGCATCACTCGGCTTGGCTACCTCAGCATTAGCATGCTGTGCAGAGCGCCATAACGGAGGTGTCCTGTATACGGATCATAGGCTCTGATATGGGATGTGTGAAACTATCAATACAAGCAACCAACGTTGTTTTCCTCTGCCGTACGGTGCTGAGGAAAAACTGAAGGCGCTCAAACATCTGGAGCGAGCTTAAAGAAAAACCTCTCAAAGCTCAAAGCAGCCAGTTGATGTGGTTTTGGCAGCTCATGAATCCTCATAGATCATTGTTGGTGGTTTCTGGGAATGCCTAACAGCGGGGAATGTGACGCAGGCCTCGAACATGCCGCGGTGATCTTCAGAGTCCTCCATGGAAAGCTGGAGGATGAGGTCTGTATGGCTGTGACACTATCAGCGTTCGTTTTGGTTCAGCCGGTGCAACATTTGAAGGAAAACTAATAAAACTGGGGAGAACGTTGACCTTTGACCTTTCATAAACCTACTGAGGAGGAGGGACCCAGCTAAAGACAGACAAATGGTTGTAGTGGACGCTTGCACTCAGTAAGGAATAACAGAACTGCATGAATATATTGAAATGCAGTGTGTCATCATTTCCACAAACACTGGTCGTTTCCAGCTGCAGGTCTTCACTCCTACATTTTAGGAAACATCCATCTGCATCCGTATGTTTCAAGAATAAGTTGTGCACGGTGTTTGAAGGCAGAGCACTGCAGAAACTGTGGTTTGATTTTTATTTTCCACCAAATGAATTGTTGTTTTGTGCAAACATTTGGATGCCATTTGGAATACTTTGTCCTTTGTAGTTGCACGCTTCGTTATTTGCCTGCAGCTGCTAATTATTTTTTTGCAGACCATTCTGCAACATGAAACATATTGTGGCCTAATACATGGTTAGCATGCACATGTGAGGACCTGAAGGCTGACTGTGATCAGAGTTATGACAGAACTGGGTGACGCCATGAGAAAAGAGACATAATTAATTATAGATCGTTGCCCAAAACACAGGAACAAGTGAACTGTGCAGCCTGACAGCGACACATTATAATGACATAAATATATTTTCAAGTTACACTTACTTTACTTTTAGTGTCTAAAACATTTTAGTAAATTAAACTCAGGGCCACACTTTATCACACTCATACCCATGCACATTTATCTCTAATAAAAAGACTTTGGTAGATTCAGTTATAATCATTAGAGTTCCCTGTTACACATGTTGTAAGTCAGATATAGATTTTAAACAGGCTGGTTTTCCCAGTACAACAGTTACTTACCAGTTGCCTCAGTGAAGTGGGATTTAAGGATCAATAGTTGAGTAAGAAACCAGCAGGATAGTTTGTGTGAATGTGTGTGTGGGACAAACAGGGTTTGGGTTTCTCTCCCTTGCGTTGTGTAGCAGCCACACTGTTGTCTTTGTAAAACCCTGAGAGTTTATTGCTGTTTGTCTGATTTCTGCAGTCTCCTGTGCTAAAGACCCAGACAATCACCATCTCAGATGTTACCAATTCTGTAAGAGGAACTGCAGCCTACAAGGACACACCCTTAGTTCACACTGAAACCAAGACCATCACATACGAGTCAGCTCAGGTGAGGTCAATTTGAGACATTTCCCCCTTACAAAAATGTGCATTTTACGAATTATTTTCTCACATTAAACACAAAGTATAGCTTTTTTAAACTTTGCATGCAATGCTACTACACACTGTCTGGTTTTCATAAGCCTGGCCGAAAGTTTTGGCCCTAGTATTAAGGAGGGGTCAACATATTGGCCTCAATACAAGAATTAAATACGGTGTTTGGAAGCAGACTGGTGGGCTGGACTCAAAGGACACCACAGTCACAGTTATTAGCCTGGTACAAACAGACAAAGGTGGTCACGCAGAAGAATAAGCAGTCTTCCTGGGAAAGGCTTTTCACCCACCTTCATAGGCCTTGGGTCGATGCGGCGTGTTTCCACAGCAGATGCTGGGAATACAAACTCAAGCTCTTCCTCTCCACGCCTGGATGGTCACCTCCTAATTACAGAGTAGGCTTTCCCCTCCTGTTATCCTCAGGTCCAGCAAACCAGCAGTTTCCAACCCAGTCTATTATCACAACAAATCCACGTAAATCTATTTAAAATGAATCCTCTGTCTGGTAAAATGTAATTATTTTAAAAGTGAAACCGTCCAGGCCAGGTTGAAACTACTTTCTTTTAAAATATCCTTTTCCCTCACTGGAGTCTCAGAGACCCCTTTACTCGTCCTGTACGCGACTCCAGCTGGACTAGAGTGGACTCTCCACTCCCACATGGTGTGGCCTATATCTCACACAAACACAAAAGCATGCAATAACTGAAATTCAAAATAATGCCAACTCTACGTTTAGTGGCAGATTTGATCCTACGACACTAGCATGACCTGCTGATTTGTCAATAATAATAATTATGTCGGTCATCTGTTAAACACAGGCTGGGATTCAAAACAGCTGATCAGATCAAACCTGCAGAGCAGTGAAACTGTAAAAGTTCAGTCCTGATACTGTTACCAAACCACCTTTTCTAGCTCATGTTGGCGCTGTATCATATATTCTTAATTCAGTTTTGTTTTTATGTCAGCTCTCGGTCGTGTCCTGTGATTGGTCCAGTTTCCAGGAGTGGATTTGCAGTATTCAGCAGCCCCTCATTACAGCCTGAGCGTCTGGTATTTTCCCACTGTTGTGAGTGCTGTGAACACTTGTCTGGTTTCCCTCTCAGACACGGTTATTTACCTTTCTTCAGACTGACTCTCCGGTGCAGCACGCTTCTCTCCTGGAATATAATTATCCATTTCTCTGCTTCACCTGGAGAGCTGAGGGACATCTAACCGAATGTTAGTGGGGGTGTCTGTATATCTGAGCCTGTGTTGATTACAGAAAATCCAACATAAATTTAACATAAAGTTTAAAACTGAGGGGGCTTAAAGCGATTTCTACTATAGATACTCTACCCTCCAATACACAAACTAACAGGACTTCACATTTCCCTGGAAATACTTTGTATTCAGTGACTGAAGTCTAGAACCTCACCAAACGCTGCATTTCCTCCCTGAGACGCTCGGCCAGGCCAGAACTGAACCAGCCTCAGCTGCTGCTTCTTTGTGGATCTCACTGCCTGCAGTTTTGTCTTTTTTAGGTTGAGCTCATGTGACCGAGTTAGTCATTTCTTTGCTTGTAGTATGCTTCGGTTGATTAATCTTTTTTACTGTTAAGTGCTGTTTGTTCAGTTTTGTATGAAGTTGGTGATACTTCAGAGTTTTCACACCACTGACTGTTACATTGTTGCTTATGTTGTTGGGATGGCCCATCGTGGTGCTTCAGTTTCAAATGCTTTACCAGTTTGCATTTAAAGCCACATTGCTACTGGAGACACTGGAACGACACAAATCTAATCAATGCCGTTTTCAGCTGGTAGATGTCCCACAGAAAAGAGCTACGATTTGTAGCTTCAAGTTAATAATAACCTTTATTAGAATATCAATACTTTAAAAAAAGAAAACACACTTTTAACTGTTATTATATATTAACAGAGTCTGTAAAACCTTTATGGGTCTGCACACTTTCATCATAATGAAGTCCGTGTGTGTGTTTAATGTGTGAGTAATTTCTTGTTTGGTACTTATCTCTCCCACAGCCGGTGGACAGTGTGGCAGAGAGGGAGTCGGGAGTGCTGCTGAGTGCCCAGACGATTACTTCTGAGACCATCAGCACCACCACCACCACCCAGATCACCAAGGTCTGGCACACTTCACTCACAGCTTCTCAGGCTGTAGAGATCAGTACACGATCACTGTGTTGTGATAAATGTCTGCTGTTAGTCACTTAAACTACAGATACCACTTTTTTATGTCCGATATTATAAATTTGGATATCTGCCGATACCGATATGAATCCGATATAGTGTTTTTTTAAATCAATAAAACAGTTTTTTAATATTTTGCTGCATTTTGTATAAGTTCATACTCAAGTTTAAATAAA